ACATTTATTGTACCTGTTTATTGGAACTGCAGTCACGGGAAGTTTGTGGATAGATGATTAAACAAAAGGCGCCTCCAACACAGAGCGTGAGCTGTAAATTTATGTGTGGGGGGGGGGGGGTGGGCGCTCGAATGACCTGAGCCCCAAGGTTCCAGCGCCTTTGTACCCGGAACACAATAATCGATATAGGCAAATGATTATTTAAGTGTACATTACTCGCACGATTCTCCATTTCGACATATTTTGTCGATTCCGTGACAAATCGCCATAGAAGGGACGTGAAGTGCAATTTGCTTCTGAAAGTGGCGGGTAATTCAATGCTAAAGATTGTCGTGGATGTGTCAGAAGGTCAGGCAACGGAGATAGCCGTAAAGATAATCAGGAGGTGACCAAGAGGGAAGGGGGATGCGACAGGGGAAAAGAGACAAACAGTCAGATAGATACAGAGACAGAGAGACGAAACGAGGGATATAGAAATAGCCATGGAGAGGAACTGGCGTACACGTTAAATAGTTGGATGGATGCATTGACAGATTCATGGACTGTTGAATGCATGCCTGTTTAGATAGTTCGGGACAGTTCAGCATCATGGCCTAGAACCGAAGAAGCATGGGTGCCGTAATCTGGCGTCGCAGGCAAGTGAAAACCCCTTCTCCCAATATTTGTAAGAAGACTAAGTGTCTCTCCCCCCCCCCCCCCCACCTCGAACAATGTTTTGATTAAATCATCCTTGTCTTCATGGGCGGTGGTAATAAGCGTAGGCTGTCGTAATTAGGCGATCACCAATGTAACAGATCAGGTCTGTGTTCTTGTCTGGTACATTCCACGTGGCCAAGCCATCCAGGTATTTATTTCTTTGCCTTCCTCTTGCTCTCTTTCCATCATTCATGTCCGTCGTTACCAGGTTCTAGAGTCCATTCCTTCTCATCAGTGCCAAGGTTGCCATTCTAGATGTTTTACATCTAGATCTAGACGTTTTTTGCTAGTTTCTAGATGTTGTTTTTGACGTTTAGATGTTAAGATGTAATTCTATATATTTTTCATTTGAAGTTAGGACATTTTTTTTTCAGCACCAGTTTGATAATAACTGTAAATTAATCATTACACTTTTTTGTTTTGTTCTAGGCGTTTTAAAATTACAGTATCTGCTATTATTTAAACTCTGAACTCACTGGGCTCAACGCTCAACAATCCAGTAGCCCCGGTGCTAATTAAGAGCGCGTGTAAATTATAGTAAAAAAAATATCGAACTGTAAACCCACTGTGTTGTGAATTATAGCTGTGATGCTGACTTTATGGTTCTTTTTCGTGTGTGTTTTTTTAATAATTTTTATATAATTGCTCACTTTCATTTGTGCCTTCCACTTTTTAAAAAAAAACTTTACGACATACAAGGAAAGTGTCAACTATGTTCATAAAATGTCCGGAAAAAAAACTGACTTTTTCCTTCTTTTGTTGTTTCACTGATACCTGGTTGTAGCTCAGCGTCATGGTTTTTTTTTTTCTGTATCTGTTATGGGCTTCTTGAGTAGCTTGAGTGATGGATTTGTTCACCCTTTAGCAGGTTTCGGCAACACCATTTGTCCATATTTTCTTGGTCTTCCCCTGGATATTTTAGTGAATTATCTCTCCTAATGTTACTGTAGATGATATCTGAGTGGCTCCTCTAACCACACATCCATGACCAATAAGAACAGACAAGAAAATGCCCCTCCCCCCCCCCCCCCCCAACAAAATAATATTGTGAATTCATAATATGAAATTGATCACTGAACCATAATTCATTATTCTACATTTTACTGTATTAAGATACATTCATAATTTATTATTCATTTATGTACAATATGGTTATGTTTTAAAACATATAAACTGATATAAATATGTGTATGTGACATGAAGCATTCAACATTCCACAATGTTTGATCAGACATTAATCCTCTATTAAAATGTCAAGACTTGGATCAGGAGTTTATCTTGGATTATCTACCCAGCACAACATGGTGGAATGGGCAATGGGCAGCAGGCATTTAGACCTATTGCATGCTGGTTCTGCAGTGGACAGTGATATATTCTACAGTGGACAGGGTAAACAAACTGACAGTTGCTTCTTCAGTAGGCAGAGAAAGACTGACTGGTTGCTGATTCTCCTGTAGGCAGGGATAAAACGTGTGGCTATTGCTTTCCAAGGTACAGGAACAGACCGATTGGCTGATGTTTCTCCAGTGGGTGGGGATAGATAGGTTTCTGCTTCTCCAGTGGGTGAGGAAAGATTGGCTGCTGCTTCTCTGATGGGCGGGGATATATAGGCTTCTGCTTCACCAGAGTGTGGGGAAAGATTGGCTGCTGCTTCTCTGATGGGCGGGGATATATAGGCTTCTGCTTCACCAGAGTGTGGGGAAAGATTGGCTGCTGCTTCTCTGATGGGCGGGGATATATAGGCTTCTTCTTCACCAGAGTGTGGGGAAAGATTGGCTGCTGCTTCTCTGATGGGCGGGGATACATAGGCTTCTGCTTCACCAGAGAGTGGGGAAAGATTGGCTGCTGCTTCTCTGATGGGCGGGGATATATAGGCTTCTGCTTCACCAGTGTGTGGGGAAAGAATGGCTGCTGCTTCTCCGGTGGGTGGGGATATTTAGGCTTTTACTTCTGCAGTGTGTGGGGAAAGATTGGCTGCTGCTTCTCCAGAGGCAGTGATAGACCTAGCAAAGCATACTAATTAACTGACAGCAAAATTGTGTCAGCACATGCGTACACAGGTTGAAAATGACCTAGCAGGGCATCCATATTTATCATGCTTTGGTGCTATCCAGATTTAGCTTTATAATAATGACCTTTCTGCAAGGGTCAGGCAGGTTAAACATCTTGACATGTCTCTAACATTTTATACTTTAGACTCATCATCAGGTGCTTTACTGACTGGCGTGGGCGATTATGCCTCTCCACAATTTGTGATCCCCTGCAGCATGTATCAGTTTGTGTGCTGACACACCTCCATGCCATGCAACAAGACTGTCAAGAATCTTCTCTTGTTGTCTTCCTCAGATCGTTCCAGTGGTCACAACATGTTCCATCTTCCCTCTTTTTATAACATGGCCGAAAAATGATAACTCTCTCCTTCTGATGTCTGTGATAAATTGTCTTTGGGCTCCAGCCTCTTTCAAAACCTCCTGGTTGCTATTTTTGGCTGTCCAAGGTATTTTAAGCATTCTTCTGTAAAACCACATCTCTGAGGCCTCAAGACTTTGGACTACCAGGGCTATTGAATGTAACAGGTGTCAACAAGGCTATGAATATTGAAGTATGAAGGTCACCTAGTGTGGATACTATTTGACATTCCCGAACTGTCAACAGGAACACCTTCCAGACAGTTATTAACATACTAGAAATGCTAAAGTAGAAATACAAGTGTGGCCTGAGCCAAGTCAGAACAGAAAGAGACAAACAAGATATCGTAGGAGGAGAGAACTCCTTAAAGGAGTCAAAGCCAGATGGACTCCTAAGGAACTCACAAACGATTGAAGATCTGGCTCAGAGACTCCCAGGAAGATGTGGAACTGCTATAAAGACTAGAAGAGAGACAGTAGCAGAGACTCCAGACTGATACTGAGGTCCCTAAAAGATGTATAGAGTCAGACATACAAGGACCCCAGAGGGACCAACATTCGCATGCAGTATCATTACAGAAGAGCAATACACTGAAGCAAGACCAACTGATTTGAAGCCCTAGGAATACTGAGCTAAGACTGATGAACTAATACTGCATGAAGATATAATGAACCTTATACACTGACTGTCAACAATTTCTAACTAACTGCTGCCTATGAGATGCTTAAATAAATGTGGTAACATATGTACTGTAGAAACAGTTTCACTATAACAATATTTAGAAGATCTGACATGGTCAATAAAAAGACAGTGGCCTCAATGTTTGTACCAGTGTGAAACACCAACAGGCTTCATGTTCTTCCAGCTATACTCTTGCTTAATCTGGGGGAATCAATCTGAGATAGAGGTCCTTAAGGCAACACCCTCTGCCACAAATAACCTCAATGCTCCTTAATAAACATGTTGTAATAGACTGATTAGCACTTCACGAATATCTGCCCTAACCTTCATCTTTGTGCCAGGTCATGCCGATGTTCAAGGGAACGAGCGTGCAGACTATCTTGCCGACACTGCAGTTGCTATGGCTGGCCCTGTACTGGACATAAGTGATGTTATCAATGCCATGTGCTGCACTTACCGTACCGAGGAGCACGTCAAAGGGCATGATTCCATATCCCTGTCTAGACTGATGGACATGGGAGTGCAGCCTGGAGCTGCAAGAAATGAACATTTCACTAAGAGGACAAGACGTCTCATTAACCAACACAGAACCAGCATCATCAGTCGTTTTACACTTGTGGAACTTTTGAACGAGGAGATCGGAGCACCTATGGATCTGTCCGGAGTGCTGTGATGATAATCCTTTCTAATCACTAATCACTGATTAGGGTTTTGTTGAAACTGGATTTATCAAGCTAAAAGTTTAGATACTGGAGTCTACCTGTGAACCACAACATAAAGCACTAACTGACCTTTTATGAGTGAACACAAAAGACATTCCCCTATTTGTGTAATCTCACCCAGAAGTTGTTTAAGATTCATTCATTGATTTTTTTCATTCACTGTACCAATAATAAACAATCCTTGAACATCACATTTCATGAAATTCTTCTTCTTTTTCTTGAGTTCGCCTGAAAAAGATTATCTATACCTACAATGTTGTCTCTAGTATGAATTTCACTGTCTTCTGTAATTCCTTAGTGACTCGTGAAGTTTGACTTGCACCGATGTTTCTCTTATCCAACTGTTTTGCCTTGATATCTTGTATATGGGACAGTCTTGGAGCACATTATCTGTTGTCTCAGGTGCCAATCCACATGTGAACATGGCTGATTCCCTGATTTTAAATTTTGTGTACATGTGGCTGCGAAATGAAAATAAAAATCTGGTATCTGCTAGAAGAAATGCTTTATAACGCTGGTGACAACTCGCACCCAAAGAGGCACATATCTGTCTCTACGATGAAATGTCTGCTCTGTCACAGGCTGTGAAGAGGAAAACATTCGAACATGCTCCTGCAACAATAACATACATGTGTTGATTACTTTTTAAAAAAAAAACATTTACAAAAAATATATAATAAAATATAAAAACAATAAATAAAGAGAGACTGACTCTGGCTTTTACATTTGGCCAATATATTAAATAATTCTGCTTTAAATCACTAATGAGACAGGTATTTTTATCCAGAAAGGTTATATAAATCTCAAGAACTTTTGTTTCCCAGGCATGCAGAGATATCTGTTCAGATATATAAAGCATTTAGAGCAACAGAACACTGACACTGTTAAAGAGATATCTCAGTATAGACACTTATAGCACCGGCAGTAGCAGAACACAGGCACCACTGAAGAGATATATTAGTATAGACACTTATAGCACCGGCAGTAGCAGCACACAGGCACCACTGAAGAGATATATTAGTATAGACACTTATAGCACCGGCAGTAGCAGCACACAGGCACCACTGAAGAGATATATTAGTATAGACACTTATAGCACCGGCAGTAGCAGAACACAGGCACCACTGAAGAGATATATTAGTATAGACACTTATAGCACCAGCAGTAGCAGCATACAGGCACCACTGAAGAGATATATTAGTATAGACACTTATAGCACCGGCAGTAGCAGAACACAGGCACCACTGAAGAGATATATTAGTATAGACACTTATAGCACCGGCAGTAGCAGCATACAGGCACCACTGAAGAGATTATATTAGTATAGACACTTATAGCACCGGCAGTAGCAGAACACAGGCACCACTGAAGAGATATATTAGTATAGACACTTATAGCACCGGCAGTAGCAGAATACAGGCACCACTGAAGAGATATATTAGTATAGACACTTATAGCACCGGCAGTAGCAGAACACAGGCACCACTGAAGAGATATATTAGTATAGACACTTATAGCACCGGCAGTAGCAGCACACAGGCACCACTGAAGAGATATATTAGTATAGACACTTATAGCACCGGCAGTAGCAGCACACAGGCACCACTGAAGAGATATATTAGTATAGACACTTATAGCACCGGCAGTAGCAGAACACAGGCACCACTGAAGAGATATATTAGTATAGACACTTATAGCACCAGCAGTAGCAGCATACAGGCACCACTGAAGAGATATATTAGTATAGACACTTATAGCACCGGCAGTAGCAGAACACAGGCACCACTGAAGAGATATATTAGTATAGACACTTATAGCACCGGCAGTAGCAGCATACAGGCACCACTGAAGAGATATATTAGTATAGACACTTATAGCACCGGCAGTAGCAGAACACAGGCACCACTGAAGAGATATATTAGTATAGACACTTATAGCACCGGCAGTAGCAGAATACAGATGTTGAAGAGATATATCTGTATACACTTACACTACTAAGAGCAGCAAAACACAGGCACCACTGAAGAGATATGTAAAGACACAGTACTGTCAGCTGCAGAACACAGGAACCACTAAAAAGAGAGAGAGAGAGAGAGAGAGAGAGAGAGAAAAGAGAGAGAGAGAAAAGAGAGAGACACACGCATGCACCCATGCACACACACACAAAGATATATATATATATATATATATATATATATATATATATATATATATATATATAATATATATATATATATATATATATATATATATATATATATATATATATATATAACACGTTAGAAACGTACACAGTTCATAGGCTTTCCACAGTTCTGGTTCAATGGAAAACTGTAAAAGAAGAAAGTGGGGCTTTTGCCTCAACAACAAGTAGTTTGAAATTGGAGGTGATGGCGGTAAAAAAAAGCAATGATGTGGCTAGAGACTCATAATTTTTCCCATGCGTGCTCTGTAAGTGATTCTATGAGGCATGCTTAAGAAGATAGAGTCAGGTTGGATTTAAAGAAAATGGCTGGAGTCCCTGATGAAATCTGGTCTGAAAGAAACTAGTTTCATTTTTGTGCCAGGACACTCTTGGGTAAAAGGGAATGAACCAGTTGATTGGCTTGCTGGCAGCTAGAGAAAAATCAATGGTTGATGGACTGAGCCTAAATTCTCAATGCTCTCAAGGAAGCAGGACAAGAAGATGATTCAGGAGATGACCCTGAATTTGCAACAATCAAAAGACTACAAGAACTTCACGTCAAAAGAGGTGTTGTCAAACATGAATACTTTACAGGTCGCCAAAGAAGAAAAGAAAACCAACACAGAAATGGTGTTATCAGTTGCCACACACTGGGGGATATAGTGAAGATGGGATCATTTACTACACTAAGAGCATCAGAACACCACACCAATGAAGAGATGTGTCAGTATAATCAGTATAAACATACACTGCACTAAGAGCAGTAGAACACCACACCAATGAAGAGGTGTGTCAGTATAATCAGTATAAACATACACTGCACTAAGAGCAGTAGAACACCACACCAATGAAGACATGTGTCAGTTTAAACATATACTGCACTCAGAGAGGCAGAACACCACACCAATGAAGACATGTGTCAGTTTAAACATATACTGCACTAAGAGCAGCAAAACACCACACCAATGAAGAGGTGTGTCAGTATAAGTAAAGTAAGTAAAGGACCCTTTTTCCACGCCTTTAGGCATATAGGGCATATAGGGCTAGACCTATATTTTTATAGACCAATCGGCACAAGATGGGTGATGTGGTCAGCATCACGCCAGCCGCCTTTACTTTCCCGAGACTGCACCTGGTACCCACTCAAGGCTGGGTCGACCTGGGAGCCAAGGTCATTTTTGAAATAAGTCCGGCTCCGCCAGGGGGCGAACCCACGACCTTCCGATCCGCGGCGAGCGTCTAGCCGATCGGCCACGGTGACTCCCAGTGTCAGTATAATCAGTATAAACATATACTGCACTAAGAGCAGCAGAACACCACACCAATAAAGATATGTGTCAGTTTAAACATATACTGCATTAACAGCAGCAGAAAACAACACTGCTGAAGAGACATGTCAAAACAGCACAGCACTTAGAGTAACAGAACACATACCCATAAGTGCTCAGATCTACTTTTAAGCATGTTTCCTGGTGTGTTTATACTGATAATACCTGTTCTGTACTGGTTGATGTAGTGACTGTGAGCTCTCCTATAGTTTTCCATATCGTGCTGTTCTAACTGGTACATCTAGACTTTGTATCCGCATCAGGGAAAAAATCAATATCTTTGTGGACTTCAGTACATGTTGTCTCTCATATAGCACAGACTGAAGAGACATGTTCAGGAAGCTTCACAAACCAATTTAAAGGCAAATATATTTGAATAAACCTACCTCCCGAAGCTGTTCCTGCAAGCCTTTGTGTTCTGTAACCACAGCCACCTGGCACTCCAAGTCTCGGTACACTGATCTGTAACCTATGAAGATCAAATGTGATAAACACGAATAAATGAATGTTATCCATGTGACCAGATACAGTCGAGTCCACTTAAGTTGAACTCGGATAAGTTGAATTTCGGTTAAGTCGACATGACCAGCTTAGTCCCGGCAATTTTCTCTGTTGTGTGTGCTGTCTGGATAAGTATAAATCCTGATAAGTGGAAGCATTTTCTTAGGTCCCTGCGACTTCTACTTATCCAGACTCAACTGTACTTAAATCTATACTTGTCCTAAAATAATGTCTTTGACTCTTATTATACATTTAGGCACTATTCTTTTTTTGGAAATCACCATTACTTCTGTCTTCCCATTATTTATACTGAGGACCGTTTTATCACTTTCTACCACCACTGTATCTATTAGTTCCTGTAGTTCTTTCTGACTTGTCGATATCAAGATGGTGGTGTCATCACATAATGCAGGTTGTTTATGTTATGACCACCAACCACAAAACATATTGACACAAACAACACATGCTAACTGACACCTCAAACACATACTGAAACATAAGTCACAAACTAATATATTAAACATGAACTTACACATAAAATACAAACTGTCATATAAAGCATACTGACACACAATACATCCTACTAACCAATAAAACACAAACTGACATATCTTCTTCTTCTTCTTCTTCGCGTTCACCAGCTGTACACTCTGGCGTAAAGTTCTGGTTGTTCTTGGGTTTTTGCATGCACTTTACAACTCATGCTTTTGTGTTCTTTTATAATATTCATAATATGCCTATAATCATATGATCATAACATGCTTTATTAGTAAAATACAACTGCTGTGTGAAAGATGGTTGACTGGAAGGGCCAAATGTAAGACGGGCCTGCGTGCCCAATTTGTGACCCTTTGAAAATAAAGTTCGTTCGTTCGTTTGTTCGTTCCACTTCTGGACTGCAGTCCTGCTCCAGAACATGAGTGTTGTGTGTGCATCAGTTTTACAGATCTGATTCAACTGAATGCAGACTGCTGGTTCCTTGCCCCTCAGAAAGATGCACTCCAACTTCAAAGGAAGCTCCCCAGTTAGTCGACTCTTACGACATGCTTTTGGGGAGGCAGTGGGTCTATTCTTGTTTTCCCCACAATAGGGCCCCGGAACCCACACGGGGGAAACTGACATATAAAACACATGCTAATTCACACACAAAAACATATGCTGACACACAAAATATATACTAACTTCTTCTTCTTCTTCTGCTTTTCTACCCCACAATGGAGCATAGGCCCTCAACCAACTCACGCCAAGTCGTTCTATCCTTTGCCATTGCATGGAGCTCTCCCCATGTCCTCCACATCTTTCTAACTTCATTCTCCAGCTCTCTTCTCCATGTGTTTTTTGGCCTTCCTTTATTCCTATACCCCTGTGGGTTCCAATGCAAAGACATTCTAGTTATGTTGTTCTCCTGTTTTCTCAGTGTGTGTCCTATCCAACGCCAGCGTCTTTTCCTCAACTCTTGGTCCAGTGGAGCCTGTTTAGTTCTACATTAGTTATTCTATCATACCATTTAATTCCCTCTATTCTGCGCAGGCACCAGTTAATGAATGTTTGTAATTTATTAGTAATTGCCTAAGTTGTTCTCCATGTTTCCGCCCCATAAAAAAAGTACTGATTTGACATTAGAATTAAACATTTTGAGTTTAGTACTTCTTTTAATTTCTTTTGACCTCCACAAATTCCCTAGTGCCATGAAAGCTGCTCTTGCCTTTTGTATTCTTATTTTAATATCTCCATCAGTTCCTCCATCAAATCTACATATACTAAATGACACAGTTCAAATACTCACACAGACAGAGAAAACATAAATTATTAACTAACATATAAAATAGGTAATGACACAAAAACAAGCACTGACACATAAAACACCAACTGACACATTAAATACATATCAACTGATACGTAAAACATATATCAACTAACATATAAAACACACAGTAACTGACATATAAAACATGTTAACTAAGAAATAAATCATGTGCTTACATTGACACATAAAACACATATCAACTGACACACAGAACAAACATTAACTAACACATAAATCGCATATTAAATTATAAATAAATCACATACTCATAGTGAGACTATGATACATATTAACTCACATATAAAACACATATTAACTGACACATAAAACAGATACTAACAAATAAAATTCATATTGACTTAAAAACACGTTCTAGTGACAAACAAAACCTTTGTTAATTAACACAAAAATTAAACACTAACTGAGACATACTAACCAAAGTTTGGGGAACCAACAAGAGTTAAAGTCGGGAAATGACGACTGGGCAGATAGTACCAAAGCCCTTTGCCGTGAAAGGTCCAGCTGTCTCGAACATACTCCAGCAAGTGTATTCGCTGATTCTGATGTGTTTTCTGCACTTGTTTCAAAAACTGATGGGCTAAATAGATGTAGGAGTACGGTATGGCACCCGCAACACCCTTAGCTCCTAAAAATCCATTTGCCTGTTTGACAATTTAAAATAATAATGTAATAAATGAAACGTAAGATTTGCTTCAATTCACCATTACAGCTATTAAATAGAAAATGTGGAAACCAGAGATGGAACTTTATATATATAATTTAATCTATATTGACTGGTTTCTTTGTGTGTGTTTCGGGATCATTTTTCGGGGGCGGGATAGACCCACTGCCACCTAACAAGCAAGTTGTAAGAGGCGACTAATTAAGAATCCTCTGTGTTGGATCAAACTGCGCTGATACCACAGCCTAGCTGGAAACCACAAAATGCCAACTACCCATTTAATGGTTTATTCAGAAAAAGAAATCGGAGACAGATTTTAGAAAAGTGGGTTTAAACTCTCAACTCTTTCATTACCAAATGACTCACTACGCATTTCTTGGTGATTCGAAATATAATATAATGTTATTGCTGTCTTCTTTCATAGACATTTGTTTTTACCTGTTTCCGATTAGTGTAGCTTAATGTCACTGGCTCTGTTCGCATCTGCGCAGCATTTAGGAGACCTAGATATGAATATATTTTCTAAAAATAGTATGAAGGAAGATTTCTGTGTGAAAAAAATGGCTTCTTTACAGCCACAATTTGGTCAAATTTTCCCAAAGCCTCAGTGATAGAGGAATGTATTCCATTTAATGTTTTACTCTGCTCGTCTTTACTGATTACTTTCTTTATTGGTTAGTTGCGTATCCTTTACAGGACGTTGCAGACCCAACCCCAATAGTCCCTGGTTGTTGTGTGGTTTTTCTAGGTAAATTTATGTCCAGTAGTTTGCCACTGCTTTCTGGACGGTCGGCTTTCTTGATACCACTGTTGAAACCAACGCAAGGCACATGGCACACAGCTGGGATCAAACCTGGCATGTATTAGTAACCTGTGTAACTTAGCTAAATTTTTTTTTTTTAAATAAATTCCATTAGCATCATAGCCCTTTTTTTTTTATTAATGTTCTCGAGGCGAAAGGCATAATTCTCAGGATCATTCCTGGAGGCCCTGGTTCAATTTTTTTTTTTTTTTATCTGCCCCAAATACCTTCGGACCATCAGACAAGCATCTAGCCACTGTTGCATCATGACTCCTTACTAATTATAAACAAATTTATCATTCTTCCGGCCTAAAACAAAGGATAAAGCATGGCAAAATGTTAAGTTTCGAAGTTATTTTGCTTTCAACAGTGCTTTGCTAATGCAGCTTCCACATATGGACGGAAGTCTATGGTTTCACTGCCTGAGCTGCTGAGTTTAGTGCTTGGTCCAGCCCTGTGAGCTTTTTCCTGTGGAATGCCTTTCATTTGTGCTGGGGCTGTGTCACAGTATTCAATATGGGCGGTAGCCATTTACGTGAGAGCTGGTGAAATACTGTATGCAATAATTCTTCGTGTGTGTAGAAGCCAACTTACTCTGCCCGCCTACTTCCATCAACGACAAACTGTATTTCTGGTGGTGAATGTTCACTTTGGCTAATCTAGCAACTGAAATTTGCATTTGCTCTGTGCACATATTTCTGAAATGTTCCAGGACTAATTGTCTGTTCACCAGTTTTTCAAACAGGACAGTGAGGGACATTTCATTTTATTTGCATAGGCACAGGAACAGGGCAAGTATGGGGAAACCTGACCGCAGTAAAGTTGAAACCTCGACTAAGACTAAATTTATAAGTGGGTTTAGGTTGAGGGTCAATGTTATACTGGGAAGATCTTTTTCTCTGTTCGCCCATCAATAGGTCAACCAGAATGTTGTGTGTGGTCTGAACTAGGCTGTGATATCTTGCACTTTTTTGGCCAAACATAACAGACTTCAGCAAAACTGAAAGATGAAAGGGAGAGGAAGAATATAAAATTAACATGACCAATGTCCAATGGAACCCAGGCCCTCAACCAAATTATGCCAAGTCGTTCTATCCTTCACTATCACATGCAGCTCTCCCCATGTCCTCCCCATCTTTTTTAACTTTACTCTTCGCCCCCTTCTCCATGTTATTTTTGGGTCTTCCTTTATTTCTGTGTCCAAGTGGGTTCCAGTGCAAAGACATTCTAGTTATACTGTTCTCAGGTTTTATCAACATGTGCCCTACCTGTGGTGAAGCCATAAGAATGCTGAATTTGGCCAAAGACTGGTTCAGAATCACAGACATGTAGTAATCTGTCAGGTTGAAGTACCCAGAAGCTAGCAGAATGTGGTCATGAGCATCTGAAGATCTCAACAAACACAGTAACATCTGCTCATCGTGGGTCACCCCAAAAGGACCCATCTGGACGAGTGGATACACAGCAGTGTCTCCTGGCTGAGAGTTTGATAAAGGTTCATCTGTAAAACTCTTGCCACCTGATTCAGAATTCTGTAGATCAGCAGGAGATTTTTTACTGTGGACTGCCTCTCCAATTCTCAAACAGGATTCAATCTTCTCCCTAGCAGCCATTTTAAATTTCAAGCTGCTGTCTGAAATTGAAGAAAAAAAAAACAGACTTCATTAATCAATGTGGCAAATGATAAGCTACAAAACTGCCAAGCACCATATTTTGTGTGTGTGTGTATAAGATAATATGCTGCCTCAAATTTATTTGTTTAAAACTGGGTGTCATCTTATATCTGAAATGGGTTTATTAAAATATGTATTTCTCAATTTAGAGCTAAAAAAATTTTACTTTTAATCTTTCGCCTTGAAAACGCTAATAAAAAAAATGGGCTGTGATGCCAAAGAGATTTCTCGAAAAAATCATTAAAACAATTAAAATAAACAATTATGCCATTTTACACAGGTTCCTAACACATAAGTATTTATCTACATTTTGTGTGTGTATAAGACAATGTACTGTCCCCAATTTTTTTTTAACAGGGTGTCATCTTTTAACTGTAAAAACTAAAGGTCCCTTTTCCACATCTTTAGGCGTTTAGACTTTTACATTTTCTATGCGAGCCTTTCGTGCAGTGGCTAGAAACTTGCTTGCTAGCCTGAAGAAAAGCTGGTTTGAATTCTATCAAAGCAGATTTTTGTAAGGGACGTAGGATTCTTGGGTTAACCCCACCTTACATCTATTCCTTCAGTCACTGTCCTGTTGTGCCATTATATGTCACACAGGGCTCGCAGTCTATTTCTCCATTCCGCTCTGTCCTGTACAAACATCACAGATGGAATCCAATTCAACTGTTGGCTTCTCTCATCAACATTCACTTTAGTATTTCTCTTGGACGCCCTCGTTCCCTCAATTTCATATTTCAGTGCCTGTTGGCTAATCCTCTGGTCATCTCTTTCCAGAATGTGTCCAACAAAGTGCCATTTTCTCTGTCTTATATGATAGGTAGCCCAGAAATTACTCTCATCTCCCCCGTGTGGTATGGATATGGATCTAGCACCATATGCTAGATGTATCAAAGGCATGGAAAGAACATCACAATCATCATCATCGAGTGGCTTGATGACTGGCATGGGCAATCATGCCTCTCCACAACCTGCGATCTTCAACAGCATGTATTAGTACTTGCAATGACACCCTCCATGCAATGAAAAAAGTCTGTCAAGAGTCTTTTCATGTTGTCTTCCACTGTCTCTTTTTCCACAGATCTTTCCAGTAGCCACCGCATGTTCCAGAATATGATGACCCCCCCCCCCCCCCCCCCCCCCACTCAAAAAAAAATAAGTGGAAAGTACATTTGACAATTTTTTCTTTTTTTCTTTTAACATCTATGCTACAGACTCGAAATTTACAGTAGGGAAACAAAAACAATACCAAATTTACCTTTGTATGGATGAATATTCCAGTCAGGTGCCAAACGTAATGAATTGTCCGGCGCTAGAGATAAAGAAAAGGACATGATTGCCTTGACAAAGTCATGAAAGAAATCTGCCAGCTGACTACAGTTGTTGAAGAGAATGTAACGGTCTTGTCTGTTGGTGAAGTAGTCTGCGCTCAAGTTTGCCCTGAAAGATGAAAATATCTATGAAAGAAGCACCAAAAAATGTAATATTCTAATGTCTGCTTCAAAAATGATTACACAGCACACAGGTCAAGGTGATTTTAGTCTAAAGTAAGAAATCAAGAGGATCTTCTTCTTCTTTGTTCACCAGCTGTAGGCCCCCAGCAGAAAGTTCTGGTTGTTCATCCATTTGGATTTTCGCTTTGTGCATTCGTTTTACGGCTTATTTGTATGCAGGTGGTTTTTTTCTTGCCACTAGAGCAGATGTGCTCCAACTTCAAAGGGAGTCCCCAATTAGTCAACTCCTACAACATGCTTGTTTGGGAGACAGTGGATCTATTCTTGTTTTCCCCACAAGGAAACCCAGAAATCCATACAGGAAATCAAGAGGATCAACTCCATTGCATCGGGTTACCCCATGTAGCTCTGTCTCTCTTGGTAGAATGGTAAGCTGCCACAAAAAAGCACAAACTCTTTGGCTCCAAGTGAGGATCCCCTGGAATTTCTGTAAAAACTGCACTCATGAACTGCATGATTCCTTTAAAAGAACTGACGACTTTTAGAGAACAAGGAAAATGGTTCGATCACTTCATCCCAAGAGACCTCCGATGTTGGCCTATGCTGTCATATTGAGAATATTATGATGTAGCATTTTCTTTGTTCTCAAAATTTATGCAGTCTGGCATTGGTAATCCAGTATGAAAAAAAAAAGACTTCTATCTTATCCTACTGTCAATCATTTCAGAAAACGCTGTTCTTCTATGTTTTGATGCCCAACATCTTCCTCTTGGTCTCCTTCTGCCTATCTTCTCTTCCAACCTTCATGTTATCACCCTCCCTCTGCCTGTCATCCCTTCCAACTTTCATGACATATTCTTATGATGTGCCTAAAGAATCTTCTTCTTTGTGGTTAGCAGCTGTAAACTCCAGTGGAAAGTTCTGGTTTCATCCACTTCTGAACTTTAATCTTGTTCCAACAAGGGGATTTGGCCAACACTCAACACTCAGGGCAAAGGCAAGACGGATATACAATCAGACAGTAAGTGGTACCATCAGAATTTTAACTCTCCGCTTGCTGCTGAAGATGGGAACGAAGCGCTTATGGGGGTGTCCCGAGTGCTGTGATGTCGATTCTTAATTCAACATTCTTCTTCCAGAACCTGAGTCTAATGAGCACATCCATTTTACAGATCAGGCTAATTTTATTTATATGCAGACAGTTGGTGCCTTGTCTCTCAGGCAGATGCTCTCCGACTTTGAAGGAAACATCCTTCATTAGTAGACTTTTCTGCCATGCCTGTTGGGGGCAGTGGGTCTATTTTTGTTTCCCCCCCAAAATGAAACCCAGAACCCACATGGATATGCCCAAAGAATGAAGACAGCCTCCTGATGTGGGCAATCAGCTCTCATTGTGAGCAAATTTCTTCCAAGATAAACTCTATGTTCTCTGATCTGTCCATGGTATTCTCATCACTCTACTTTAAAATAAAACACTGCTCATTTGGCTTTATTTCTCATTAATGTGACCATATTTAGTCCAACAGTATAGCCATGAAGAAGAGTAATACTAGAGCACCACATGACAGTTACAAAGTACACTGTAGTCATACTAGAGCACCACATGATAGTTACAAAGTAAACTGTAGTAATACTAGAGCACCACATGATAGTTACAAAGTAAACTGTAGTAATACTAGGGCACCACATGATAGTTACAAAGTAAACTGTAGTAATACTAGGGCACCACATGATAGTTACAAAGTAAACTGTAGTAATACTAGGGCACCACATGATAGTTACAAAGTAAACTGTAGTAATACTAGGGCACCACATGATAGTTACAAAGTAAACTGTAGTAATACTAGGGCACCACATGATAGTTACAAAGTAAACTGTAGTCATACTAGAGCACCACATGACAGTTACAAAGTAAACTGTAGTCATACTAGAGCACCACATGACAGTTACAAAGTAAACTGTAGTCCTGCGTGGGTGAGTCTGTTCGAGAACTGCCTCATTCGGCCCACGTATTACAGAGAAGTAAAGAACAGTAACATTGTAACCTAGCAGGTGCAATGTAAGAAGCAACTTAATAAAGTCCGCTTGAGTCAGATACCTCAAGAGTTCTGCCACACAGCTGCTGTGGAGATAGTACTATTGAATCAGGTGGAGAGGGAAGGGAAAATATTATATACCAAATTCAAGTGGATATATACAAGCTATTTTCCATTCTGAGAAATCAAATGACCTGAACATCAAAACATAAGTGTTCAAAATCAGTCTTCTAAAGGTCTCAACTACCAAATAATTTTCTTGTTTTTTTTTCCATTTATATTCAAATATCAGCGTGAAAATGTTTAAAGTAACAGTCAGTATGATACTCTCACATTTCTTTCTTCTTCTTCTTCACGTTTACCGGCTGTAAATCCCAGCAAAAGTTCTGGCTGTTCGTCCACCCGTGCACCTGGTATTAATACATGTTTGGAAAGCAGTGGGTCGATTCTTGTTTAACCCACAATGAGGTCTCAGAACCCACATGGGGAATACTGAGTTATGATAAATTTATGTCAACTTCTACAACAACAACAAAACAGTAACAAACAAGAATCTCACCCACTAATAATAAAACTGTCATCAAACAGGTAAACCTTCACATGTGTTAATCCTATTGTTTCGTTGAAGCGGTCTGGTATAAGTTTTTTCAACAGTCCTCGGAGGTCAGGCGTGTGAAATAATGAGACGCTGACATTTCTGAACTCAGCAAGAAGGGGACGCAACATGGATCTGGAATTGACTGTGCCTCTGGAGCCCCTGGTGTAGTCCAGAAGAATGTTCACCTGAAAGTCAGAGTTCCCAGAAACAACAGCAGCCAGGCATGCCTCTCTCACACAAGCAACCTGAAACACAAATTGATCACAGAAATTGTTATATTTTTTATAATACACGCTCTTGCCTCGGGAACACAAAATACAAATAGGTCTTGATGTGGAGTCATACATCTACTTGGGCAGTAATGTAAATAAAGAAGGGGGAAACATTAAATACAAATAGGTCACGACGTGGAGTCATATATCTACTTGGGCAGTAATGTAAATAAAGAAGGGGGAAACATTAAATACAAATAGGTCACGACGTGGAGTCGTACATCTACTTGGGCAGTAATGTAGATAAAGAAAGGGGAACATTAAATACAAATAGGTCACGACGTGGAGTCGTACATCTACTTAGACAGTAATGTAGATAAAGATGGGGGAACTGATAGAGATATTAAAATATGAATACAAAAGGCAAGAGCAGCTTTCAGAGCACTAGGAAATTTGTTACTAAACTATAACATTTTATTTCTTATGTCAAATCAGTACTGTTGTATGGAGAAGAAACATGGAGAAAAACTAAGGCATTTAAAAATAAACTATAAAAATGTATTAACTGGTCCCAGCGCAGAATAGAGGGAATTAAATGGTATGATGGAATTACCAATGTAGAGCTTTAGGAGATAACTAATTAAGTTCCAGTATACCAAGAGGTGAAGAAAATACACTGGCGTTGAAAAGGACACACGCTGAGAAAACCTGAAAATAATATAACTAGAACATCTTTGCTCTGGAACCCACAGGGGCTTGGAAATAAAGGAAGACTAAAAAATACACGGAGAAGCAAGCCAGCGAGATAAGTTAAAAAGATGAGGGCATGGGGAAATCAACAACGGCGTTGAGGGCCTATGCTCTATTGGGGATTAGAAAGTCAGAAGAAGATGGTCACAAATCCGTTGAAATTTCAGAAGAAAACTATTCTACACACAAAAAAAATGTCACATATGTCCCTAATAAATTCATAAAAAATGTTTTTATCTATATATTTTTCTGAATAAATAAAGATAGATGATAACTAAGGAAAAGTCAAACACTGGCCTGGAAGGACTGATAAAACGATGGGACAAGTGCTTCAATGTTGGTGGAAATTATGTTGAAAAATAAAGGGACAGGATGTGTAAAAAAAATTAATGATTTTCAAGTTATTGTCATAAGTTTTTTTATATTTTTTTAAGAGAACTATACTGTTCCCACACAAAAAAGGAAAGAAACACAGTTATCAGATGGTCAGGTTAGTATTAGTTGATGAGAAAGCCTGTACACCTATAAACTATGGAGGATTCACATGTCAAAGAACTGTCACCTGATTGGTTAAACCCTAGGGTATTCTTGTGTGCAATTTGAACAATTTCCACTTATTAAATTGAATGTCAAAATTATGACAAAAGTATGACCCTTTCAGGAGCAGAGAGCTTCAAGTAGTACAGAATCATACATAAGGAAGCATGTATGACCAAAGTAAAACTCAAATTATTATCATTGATATTTCATAAAAGAAAAAATCAAATGAACTAACCAAATCCTTTTCCAGATCACCACTTCCTAGATACAAAGATGCAAGTGTTATTCTCTTTTTAGCTTTTCTGGACTTCAACTGTAATAACAATAAATAGACACAATTAGAACAACAGGCAAATTCAACCACTTTAGCCACACTTGAGGAAAAACCTGCAGCAAGCAGATAAAAAGTTACTTGTGTATCTTGTGCAGGACGTTCTAAACCAATTTTCTAGGCAATTTTACATTCAGTAATTAGGGTTGTGTGTCACTCGTACACATATACATTTTGAGAGTGAGAGAGCCACAATGATAATGGGATGAGAGGGACTGGCACATGAACGTATGAATATTAATGTCTCAATCATCTCATGATCAATAACTGAATGTTAAGTGAGCAGGCAGGAGCTCAGAATACTAGCTAAGACTTGGGGAAGGTCGCAGTATTTGTAGTTCCCGAGAACTGTGTAGCGATTGTGCGCCATTCAGCAAGACAAAACTTATTTGCATGCACTGAACGGGTAGATATGGGAATGAAATAACGGCTCAGATATAGATGTGATTAGTGAGACCTGCTGGCAGTGTTGTATGCAGATACAGGTTATCATTTCAAAGTTGTGGAGATTGATAGACAGTTTGGCCTTTGTGCTGGTTTGTGTTGTTGATGTGATCAGTGATTTCTGCTTGTGCCGATGTGTATAAACATCACAATTTAGCAGCTCCAAGTTGTGAATATTGATAGGGCTAATCAGACTATGTGCCGGATTATCCTCCATAGTTATTCCACTCCTGTAGCAACGCTCCCATGATTGGATTGTTTACCCAGTGTAAACAGGAACTTGTTACAATGTATAGGTAACTATTGCTCCAGTCTTATATGTTGTGTCTGACAGCGACAGAGATTTTTCACATTACCTTCACCATCATTTGGGGGGAGGAATAAAGTATGTTCCTGATGTTCCGATGGTCTTCCTAGTATGTAAATCAAGTGGGCCTCAAGCTATCATGAATCCCTCAACAGTTCTTTAGTGGTTAAACAATCACCTTAATCACAACAATTAGCCACTGCATTCTGAATGGAAGACTCTTGATACCACTGTCACAACCAACAAAAAGCTGCCCAGAACTGATAGAAATGAACAAGGTGGTGAATGCTGTTCACCACAGAAATATAATGATTTGCTTCTGATATCTGTGATAAGTTTCTTTTCTGTCTGTGATAAGTTTCTTTTCTGTCTGTGATAAGTTTCTTTTCTGTCTGTGATAAGTTTCTTTTCTGTCTGTGATAAGTTTATTTTCTGTCTGTGATAAGTTTCTTTTCTGTCTGTGATAAGTTTCTTTTCTGTCTGTGATAAGTTTCTTTTCTGTCTGTGATAAGTTTCTTTACTGTCTGTGATAAGTTTCTTTTCTGTCTTTGATAAGTTTCTTTTCTGTCTGTGATAAGTTTCTTTTCTGTCTGTGATAAGTTTCTTTTGTCTCCTGAATACAAATTTAGACTATTCCTTCTAGCTATTTCTTACATTTTCTAGATTATTATGTAATATAAATTTATGTTAATATTAGTGATATCACACTGTCTGCGGCTTAGCCTTGCAAACGTGATTCATAATGCAGGTTTGATCCCAACTACGGGCAATTTGGTAGCAGGCCGTCATGCGTTGGTTTTAACAGTGGTACTGAGAGTCAATCATTAAGAAAGCAATGGCAAACTACCGAATATAAATCTGCCTAGCAAAAACCACAACAGCCAAATTTTGGGGTTAGTTCTGCAACACCCTGTAAAAGATACACAACTAACTTTATCATACCATTGAATGTTGAAATAAGAATCAACATCACAGCACTTGGGACACTCCCATAAGCGCTCCCAAATGGCTAATCATACCATTAAATTCCCTTAATTCTGCGCAGGCACCAGTTAATGAAGGTTTGTAAGTTTATTAGTAACTGCTATAGATGTTTTCCATGTTTCCACTCCCTACAACAGTACTGATTTGACATTAGCATTAAAAATGTTAAGTTTAGTATCAGTTTTAATTTCTTTTTGCCTAAACAAATTTCCTAGTGCTTTAAAAACTCTTCTTGCTTTTTGTACTCATATTTTAATATAAAGTAACAACTGTTTAAGATATGAGTTTAAGTGAAGTTGATCTAATGGTGGTCAAAAATGAAATAGCTGTACAGTTACATAATAAAAATATGTTACTGAACTCCTCACTTTTAGCACTTCATAAAACTGTGTAGGCTCTGTGATAACCTGCACCTGTTCGCCTTGGATGACAAACCTGGGCCCATACTGTGATAACCAATCAAATGTGTTTAGTCTATTGTCTGGCACCACACCAGGCTGACCATGTCTAGTTGACCTGTTGGTTCTCTTGTGAGCTGCATCCCGTGCTGGCGGTTTGTTGCAAAAACATCTGTTAAACATCAAAGATTATTTAAGTTCTCAAATGTTTATCTGTTGTAAGTCATCACATTCGTAACACAGGTAAATATGATGTCCAAAAAAAAAAAAAGAAAACGCATAGCTACTGAAAGGAACCTACGAGGGAAGGTCAATAAGTAAGTCACAAATGGTTATGGGTTGGCAGGAAAATGTAGCTGGTGATTTCTAAAGGTGTCATTAGGGGACAGCAACATCAAACTTCATGTCTCCGTTTTCTAGGTGGCGCTAGGTGTTGCATGTGTATTCGCAACACCAAAACCCAAAACAAATCAGCAACTGTACTTACAGAGTATACCCTCAAAGAACATCGTGCTGTTGTGCGGGGGGGGGGGGGGGGGGGGGGGGGGGGGGGGGGGGGGGGGGGGGGGGGGGGGGGGGGGGGGGGTGGGGGGGGGGGGGGGGGGGGTGGGGGGGGGGGGGGGGGGTGGGGGGGGGCAAAAAGGCTGCCTGCAAAGGACATTCATAAGGAAATGCTTCCTGTTTATGCTGGCATATGTTTATCCCACAAAGCGGTGCACAGCTTTGTAAAAAAAATTATCAAGGGTGCTCTAATATTGTTAATGAAGTCCCATCTGGTCGTCCTGTTGAGACTGCAACAGACTATCTATGCAGCGGGTGGAGAAGATGATTAGAGGTGACAGTTGAATAACGGCTGATTCTATAGCAGCTGCAATTTTAAAAAAAGGTGACAATGTCAATGCTGATGCATACTGTAAAGTTCCATCGATGCTTCATGATGCAATTCGAAGAAAACGTCTAGGCCTGCTGACTGGAGGAGAACTGCTCCTTCATGATAATGCCAGACCACATACGGCTCAGTTAACTCAGGAGAAAATTAACCATCTAGAGTGGGAACTTCTGGAACATCGACCTTACAGCCCCGACTTAGCCCCAAGCGAATCCCACCTTTTTGGTCCACTGAAAACCCACCTTGGTGGGAGACATTTCGCAAATGACGCAGAAGTTGAATGTGAAGTGAAAATGTGGTTTAGAAAACATAGCATGCAGTTCTATGCAGCAGGTTTGAGAGGACTGATAAAACGATGGGGAACAAGTGCTTCAAAGTTGGTGGAAATTATGTTGAAAAATAAAGACACAGTGTATGTGTAATAATAAAAGGGTTTTCAAATTATCATCTTCAAGTTTTTTTGTTTTTTTTTAAACAACCATTTGTGCCTTACTTAACTTCCCCTCATACATATTATTTTGAGTCTACATCTTTGTAATGCAATAAGTGAAATTACTCAAATTTCACATAATAATACCTTAGGGTTCCATCAATCAACTGACACATTTGTTTGCATCTAGGTCATATTTTTTAAGCGTATGGCCTTTCCCGTCAGTGACTGGCATCTCCTGAGCATGGATGCGATCAGATGTCTGATGTGGGCCTGTCTGATGGCTGGCCACTCTTCCTGGAGTGCCTGGAACAGATCTCAACCATTTGCTGGAGCAACATCCCAGCGATAAATACATCCAACAGCTCATCCCATAGGTGCTCAATCGACCTCATGTCTGCAGACAGGGATGGCCAGGGAAGGCTTTGAACATTATTGGCAGCCAGAAACTGCATGGTCAACTGTGCAGAATGGGGTCTGGCATTGTCCTGTTGAAAAAGATATCTGTTGACATTCCAAAGAGGAAGTTAAAGAATTTCCCTGATGTATTGTTGCACATTCAAGCTTCCTTCAATTTGCACCAATGGACTCCTTCCGTTGCAACTGATCATTCCCCACACCATTACACCTCCACCACTAAGAAGAGAGCTTCATAAACACACGTTTGGGCTAAACCTTCATTTCGCCTACCGTAGAACCTATGCTGTCTATCATGATGCTGCAACAAAAAGAAAGATTCGTCACTGAACCAGACACATCTCAAGTGATTATCACCTGTCCAGGGATGATGTTGGTTGGCCTGAAGAAGTTGATTTTGGCGGTGGTAACACGCAGTCCAATGTCATGCAGTCTGTTCCAAACAGTTTGATCAGACACAGGATGTCCTGGAAGCAATATCTGCATAGTTGAGTAAGCTGTTGTAAACCTGTCTCTGAGATGATGAAGTCGAATAAAGCGATTCTCTGCTGCTGTTGTTACTATGAGTCGTCCTCTGTGATGTTGGTCTTCAACTGAATCAGTGGCTTGGAACCAGTGCAAAAGTCGACTGATGATAATCTAATGCACGTTTAGGTGCCTGGCAACCTGATTTTGACTTCCTCCTGACTGCAATCGGCCAATAGCAATATTCTTTAAATTTATAGATAGAGGCGCCATTTGTGACTGCTTGAAAATAAACTGAATGTTTTGGTGTAGCATTATCCTTTTATAGGGTTTCAACTGCGTAGGCAGTGAATAGTGTTCACCCCAAATTGTGGTGCTTTCTCGTGCGCGCATCATGAATTATGCTCACAAATATGGTGTTTAACACAATTGACACTGCATTGTAACCATTATAAATACCCACGCAATTTACGCTCACATGTCCATTGGACATGATAAAAAATATTTGAGTCTGCTTTTCACATACCTGAGAATGATATGTTATTTACAAACTAATAAAAATCAGATAACTATGCATTTTTTTTTTTTTGGTGTTTTTTTTTTTTTGCAACAGTGTATAAACATGTTATTACATGTAATATAATAAGAACCAACACTATTAATAATCCTATTACTGTAATTGTTGGTGTACAAGACGCTCCATTGTATCAGACACACCTGAAAAATGTCACGCATTTTCTATAAAAAAAACTCAAATTTGAAGATATATATTACTGCTATAAATTATTCATTGATCTTCATATGCCGTTAAATTCTTGTTGAGATACCCAAAGACTTATGGTTTCTTCCATCGATGGAGGTCTGAAACGTCATTCTGCTGACCTATTGCCGTGTTCTTCACCATATTTTATCACCTGGAGTTTAAAACTTTCAGTGTAGGAATGCTGCTTACTATCTGTTTCCATATCGGAATTTTGATTGTGAAGATGTACTTATGAACTATCAGCACAGTACTGTTAACACAATCAAGTGTAATCTGCATCTCTAACCTACTTAAGAAATGGTGAGGCAGTAAGCATTCGGGGCTTCATAACTAATTAACTTTCAGTAGCGTGTGATGATCTCACCTCTTTCTTTTGGTCTCTCTATCTTTCTAACAATCAATGGAATTAGTAGAGAAAGAAGATTATTATGACCTGGAGAGAATGAGGCACCTGGGTGTAACCAGAGGGTCTGGCCGGGTCACTACATTCAGAGACATATAACCAAATTGTGACCAATACCAGTAGTATTGGAACTCTGCGCTGGCTGCTGAAGATGAGGATGGAGCATGCGTGGGAATGCCCTGAGTGCTGTGATGTCAATTCTTGACCAAACTCAACTCAACTCTCTCTTTCTGTCTCAGGCACATTACCAGTAAAAACAAAAGAGCTGATGCAAACACCGCTCTGGGGTGATGACATGAAACACTAGACTACTACCTACAAAGAATTAGGGAGTTCGACAGCCATGCATTTCCCACATGATACTGTTCTCCTCTCTGTCTCATTCATAGGTCGCATAGATATTGCTTGAACGCAGATCGTTCCAAGATGTTGAAAGGGGAAAACTAGAGTGTGGGCAACCATGAAAAATAACGGTACATGTAGGCCTCCTTCACTGCAAAAGACACAGCCTTATTTTAAGACCTATTTTGAAAAAAAAAACGTGTGTCCTATACACATACAAATACAGTAATACGGAGGCATCTCAAGTTTGCCAGGTTGGACATTTCTTCTTCTGCCAGTTATCCCCCCTGCAGTTGGCTTTGCATAAATAATAATACTTGTTCTTAAAGACGGTGGCTGTTGTCTGGGGGTGACATGTACAAATCCTGGTAAGCTTTTGATGTGTATGTTGTCTGCAGTGTTCTCCTTTTTTTAATCCTAATATTTTAAATTCTGACCCAGCTGTCAGTGATCAAGCTAAGTGTTGCCTTTTGTTTTTAAAACACTAAACTTGAACAGGTTGATGTCTCTAAAGGTAGCGACTACGGTGTTCGGCAATATGCGGTCTTTTGGCAATTTCCGTTACCCTGGAAACCGTTCAAAACTTGCTTCGCAAATGTCGGCTGGGGTTTCGGGATGGGTCCTAATCTCTCATGAAATTTTGCGATTGGTGTGATTTTCACCCACTGTAAAAAGCTGAAGGAACCTGATTAACAGCGCATGTCTACGACAGCCGGACGTCCTGTTTTTCTGTTACATCAGTTTGATTGAAAATAGCGATAAGTATTCAGGGTTGGCTTTAGGCTTTAACTGTTACTGTACCTGGTAATGCTAGTTATAATTGAATTCTCCGTCCAATTTTACATTTGTATATAAAATTTCTTTCTGGTACGTGGCTAGGTAGATGTACAGTGACATTTTTCAGACAATCGCTGGCTCAGCCAGTGGCTGTGTCTCATTGCCTGCCATCTTGTCCAATGTAAACAAAGCCAAAACGATAAGTGGGCAGGGTTGGTTGCGCAGAGAAAACTTCTTGTTTCTGGGTCACAAGTTTTAGCAGCTGCTTTCTACATCTCCATCTCCACAAAAACCTACATATCTCAGCTCAGAAATGATACACAAGCCTAAATGAGGTACCGTTGGAAAGAGATTGTTTACAGCTATCTAACTGTGCTGGTTTTATTGGTGTAGAGCATTTTAAAAATGTGACTAAAGTAACTAGTTGAAGAAGATAAGGTCTCAGTCTAGTAGTATTTAGTAGTAGTAGTACTTTAGTAGTATTTTTATAACAAATTTGTGCCATTTAGCCATACATATTTGTACAAATCAAGCAACGACAAATCTCCGAACCTCTGATTCAACAAACGCATTTGAGTTATTGAGGGTCGTAATATATGACAAAGTTCCGTCCTTATGCCCAAGGCGGCTGCCATTTTGTCTGTTTATCTCCCAAGAGTGATTGTTCTTAGTTCCATATTTCACAACAAATAATTCTCCGCGTAGGACAGTGGTTCTCAACCGTCCTAATGCCGCGACCCTTTAATACAGTTCTTGGTCTAGTGGCGACCCCCCAACCATACAATCTTTTTCGTTGCTACTTCATAACTTCAATCAATATGTGTTTTCCACGGCCTTCTCTATTTATTATTGGTGTTTTCCTATAGTCTTAGGCGACCCTTATGGAATTGTCGTTTGACCCAGAAAAAGGTCGCGAACCACAGGTTGAGAACATCTGGCCTAGGAGGTTCGCTGCATAGCCTCCTGTAGATGTTTCTGCAATATTCTCTTTCTCTCTCTCTCTCTCTCTCTCTCTCTCTCTCTCTCTCTCTCTCTCCTGGTCTCTCCATCACTCCCCCTACATCTCTTTATTCCCGAGTTCGACATAGGCTTCAACCCAACCCATGCTTGGTCGTTCTATTCTTTGTCACGGTGTGCAGCTCATCTTATTTCATCCTTCTCATCCATCCGTTTGGTATGTAATTGTTCCCTTCCAGGAATCGGGATTGTAATCTGTAAAATTAACATCACATGGGCGAGAATCATGAAGAGGATTGAAAGGAAACTACAATATGAGCTACCTGATGCACAAGTGGATTTCAGACAGGGTTGATGAACTAGGGATAATGTCTTTAATATGATTATAATCTTTGAAAAGTTTAGACAATACAACGTAGGTCGTCATGCGTGTTCCGTTGATTATAGCAAAGGCCTTTGATTGTGTCCAACGTCAGAAATTGTGGAGTGTTATGAGAAATAATGGGTTTCCAGCTCATTTGGTGCATTTAATTGAAAGTTTATATAATAAACAGCCAGCAGCCATGAGAGCAGATGTGAAACATCGAATTATTTCGAGGTGCAAAATAAGGTGAGGCAGGGGTGTATTTTCTCACACTGAACCCATCCTATGCAGAAAACATAGTGGAAAATGACCTGACTTTTGTTCAGTTTTGAACCGCTCAAAATTAGTGACAACCCTGTTCCGGAACTGTGCTGTGCAGATGTCAGTCCTCATTTCAAACAATGCAACGGGAATAGAACATTTAATCGTGTATGATGGAGGGGGGTGTGGAGAGGGGGAGGGGGCAGTGAGGCTCTAAACCTATTCTTTAATTTAGAGAAAACAGAAATAAGCTCTACAAACAAAACTTGCAGTCGTTAAAAAATAACAATAAATGGTAAAGTAAGTGAAAACTTTGGATATCTAGGACCCGTAATTAATAGCAATGGAGATTGCTCGACTGAAATTAAAAGGAGGATGGCCATAGCAATACAAAGATTAAAAAGCACTAAAAGTCTACGGTTAAGCACCAGCAAGGAAATTAAAGTAAAAATTTTGAGAGCTGCATCTCCCCTGTAGCAACATACGGATGTGAGTCGTGGACTATCTCACAGTCCTTAAGAAAGAAAATAGGGGCTTTTGAGCTGAAATGCTATATAAAGATTCTCGAAATACTACGGACAAAGAAGAGAAGAAATACTGACATTTTGACAGATCTGAACATTAAGTAAGATTGGCTAATAAACAGCATCTTGTCTCGAAAGCTGAAATGTCTTGGTCATTGACACCACAGACAAAGAAGATAAGAAATATTGACATCTTAAAAATTCTGGAAAAGAATCCAGGCAAGAGTATGTGTCTAATTTTATACGAAAACGCCGCTGGAACTATGTCGGCCACGCCCTTAGGATGGATAAATCAAGACTTCCTTACCAAGCCCTCATTTGGACACCACAGGGGGAAAGATCTCGTGGAAGACCAAGGGAAACCCTACGTAGAACTATCATCAGGGAAGGCTCACTCATGGGCCACTCAAACATCCAAGACCTACAACAGATTGCAACGAACCGCCATGCATGGAGAGTCATGACCTCTGCCATATGTGCCGCACTCGACACAAGAGGAAAGACTTGTCTTGTCTTGTCCACAATTGCCTCACAGCGTAGTGGGGAGTCGCAGTTTTCTATCCTGGGCCAGGTGTGTTGCATGTGTTGTTGTTAGTCCGTGTTGCCTCAGGATCTCTGATATATTGTCTATCCATCGTACTCTCGGTCTGCCTCTTGCTCTAGGGCAGTAGTGTTGTTCGTTGTATGCTCGTAGAGGCAGTTGGTCGGTTTGCATTCGCATCAAGTGGCCAAACCACTCTATTTGTTGCTTCTTTATGTATTGCAGGCATGGTGTGGTTCCTACAATTGATCTAATGTTCTCGTTTCGAACTCTGTCTCTCCTTGTGACATTGGCAGCCTTACGTTAGCATCTCATTTCGCACGTCGTGATCTTTTTCTCCTGTGCTCTTGTTAGGGACCAGGTTTGGCATTGGTAGCAGAGGGTTGGTATAAAGAGGAAAGACTAACTAACTAAAAAGTCTGAACATCAAGGAAGATTAGCTAATAAATAGCATCATGTCTCAAAAGCTGAATATACTGATATGACCACGCCACTGCGAATTTTAAAACAAAAATAACAAATGGCATGGTACCAGGAAGGAAGAGCAGGGGCCGATCAATACGAAGATGGGCGCAGGATATAAAAAGTAAAGGACCCTTTCCCACGCCTTTAGGCTATAGGGCATATAGGGATAGACCTATATTTTTATAGACCAACGGCACAAGATGGGTGATGGGTGACTGCACCCGGTACCCACTCAAGGCTGGGCCGACCAGGGAGCCAAGGTCATTTTAGCAGGATATGGCCCCTTGAATATGAAAGTGCACAAGACGAGAGCGCTGGCCAGGGAACGAGTTTCTGTCAGGCAGACTGTGATGAGAGCGACGTTCTGCGAAAGGCCTGCTACATGACGGTGAATGAGAACCAAACAGGTACACATTTCGTAAACCCCGCTTGACACAAAAATCAATTATTCAACGGCAGCACACTGTTGCCTAGTAACCTGAAGTCTGGACCCGGCTGGGAATACAGTATGTAATCACCCGTTTTCATGAGATATTTTTTTTTTAACATTCTATGTGCAGATTCTAGAGACTTACACAGGTGGAAACGGGTAAGTAATCTGCCAAAACTCATTTCCCCGGGTGGTTAGCATCCTTTGGATATTTTCTCCGGGTCATGCCGTGTGTTGGGAAATGAGCAGGCAGTTAGACTGGCCGGCTCTGCACCACCTGGTAGAGAATTTATGTATGACAAGCTAGACATTGTGAGGGCCATTTAGGAAGGAGTAAACAGTGCGGAGGAGCAGATAGATAATTACGGTCTGAGGAGAATGGCTCTGTGAGGCGTTACCAGGGGATCTGGCTGACGCTCGACACTCAGGGAAAGGATGAGACGGATATACAATCAGACGGTTACTGGTACCATCGGAATTGGAACTCTTTGCTTGCTTCTGAAGATGGGGACGGAGCACTAAAGGGAGTGTCCCGAGTGCTGTGATGTCGATTCTTAATTCAACATTCAAAATTCATTTCGACTAGCTCGTACTGCTTCATACCTCTTCCGTGAAAAGAGCCTTCCCCACCACCTCACTAACCGTCATCCCCTTGTGGGATGCAATTTTTAGTTATTTTGAAGCCCCATCCTGGCTTTTCTGGGGGCCCTAAATATAGCTGGGCATTAAATATGGCCTAACAGGGTTTCTGGAACCTCTCCACGGGTGATCCTCAACCATATGGTGGCACTTTGTGTCACCTGGTGTTTATCGCTTGTGTACTGTCCTGGTGGGGTACAACTTACACACCTACCTAACTCCCTACTTTTGTTGGCTGATTATATCTGATTTACCTTTTCCATTTTATACCTTTTTCTTAAAAATTTGCTGTAATTAATCTATTCTATACCACGTGTCTCCATATGCCACTTAAATTAATTTCTCCAAGGAAATTGTGATGCTGATCGTATGTTTTTTTAAAAACCATTTCACATGCCTGGTATTTTTCACTTTTTTTTTGCTTTTCCACACCCGGCTGAAGATCTTAATACCACATGAGCAGCATCTGAGCTCCACAGAAAAGATCCAAGACACTCAATTCAGAACCTCAAGAAGTTATATTCAGGGCACCTGTAACGTCTACACTGAATACCCTTCTGGAATAACCTGCTGGAAGAGGGGAATTGTGAAAACATTGTAAGGAGATACATAACTATGAACTCATATCAGCGCCATTTTAACATAAGGACATTGAAATCCACTATTCATGTCCTTAAATGCCAGTCTTCTTCTTCTGCTTCTTTACATCCTCTTTTACCGCTTCAGGTGCCGAGGGAGATATAAGGTCCTGATTGGTACTCTTCTGGCTGCTTCGCCATCGTGGTCCTGTAGAGTGTCTCTGATGTTACGAGTATCCTCCCACCTTGTTCGAGGTCTGCCTATTGATCTACGTCCTTGTATATGCCTTGTATGATACAGCATCAGAAAGCATTATATCCAAGTTGGCAAACCATTTCAGTTGCTGTCTTCACTATGCCAATCAATTTTATAATTTCATCACGTCTATTTATTTTTTTATGTAAGCAGCTGAGGTATAGCGGCTAGATGCAGACCTGCGGATCTGAAGGTCCTGGGTTCAAATCAAAACTTTTTTTCTCTCCAAAAATTACGTTGACTTCCAGGTCGACTCAGTCTCAAATTGGTGCTAGGTAAAGAAAGTCCTGCGGCTGCCGTGATGTTCATCCCATCAATGATTTGGTCACCGAGGGGCCACTTAGTCTATAAAATGTAAGTCTGGCACTGTATACCAAATATGCCTGGAAAGGGGTCCTTAATTTTCTTAATGTGCTAGCGGGGCGAAGGAAAAAAAGAAAAACAGAAGAAGGGAGATGAGGAAAAAAGAAAATGTGGTAAGAACAATAAGTAATTCCCTGCTAAACAGCAAAAGACAATGGTTCTTCTGTGCAGGGGCCATGAAATATGATCATCAAAGCCCTGGCAAAGGATATATGAATAATTGTACTACAACAACCGACTATAGCTACGTATTACTACATCGGCAAGACCTAGTCAGACCATGTGAACGAATTACAAGTTCTATCTTGAATCAAGCAAATAAATATAACCATCACATTCAACATCTGTTTATTTTCCTGAACAAAAAACTCATGTGGTTCACAAATAACAATTCATTAACAACCAGCATCATGTCTACACAGGCCACACGTTAAGCACCCCAGCTAACAAAAGTGAAATTTTGCCTCTAGCGACTTGAATTAAAAACAAAAAGAGCAAAAATACACACTGATAATCTACACAGCTCTACTACTGGATAATATTTATATCTAAAACCGAAACTAACCATAGAATATACCACCGCTAAAATCAACGAGCTGAACCCTCTATCTCGGCTGAGTCAATCGCCCCTGTGCCGTGATAAGACTACATGCGGTCAGCATCAGCAACCACTGGGCAACTAACCAGGGCCAGCCAAGAACACAGAGAGAGAGAGAGAAAGTGTGTGCACAGCCCTGCACAAGACCTTTTATCAACTTCTGATCCCTCCACTAGCCAGATATTTAGTCCGTGAGTGTAGTCCGACCAAATTAACAGATCTTTTTTGGCACCCTGCCACATTAACTTTTACTATATGCCCAATACACCTGAAGGCATTGAAAGGAGTCTTTGACTGTTTGAATTTATTTCAGCAATTGTGTAGGTGTGGCACAGTGCACTGGGGGAGGGAGGCATCATGATTAAGTATATGTATTATGTCAGTGATGCCTCTTTCAGGGTTATTAATTGGGAGATAAATGTCCATAGTTATTCCATGCTATGCTTGTCTAATTATATTTTTCTGGAAATTATAATCATGTTCTATCTTCAACAGCTATATCCTGTACAGCTCGATTTTCTCTGCAAAGCCACGGTGAAGAAATATAACGTACACAGAGGAAGGGGACCACCACGCGAAAGGTGGGCTGGTGGCAAAGCATGATTTCGGAAGCTCCAACGATGACCTGCATATGCAAATTTGTGTATTCAGATGTGTGTTTGACAGCTCAAATATATGATGTTTAAAAAAAAAAAATTCTTCGCATCTCATTCAATTCTTAGTCTTCTTATGTGCTTGGTGTCTTTTTACTCTTTATTAACTCACTTGTTTATTGGAGTGTTCTGAGTGCTATGATGTTGATTCTTAATTCATCATTCTAAAAGACATGCAACTTTTTTTTTTTAATGTATTATCCTTTTACAGGATGTTAAGAAACCAGCTACAGCATTTATTGGCGGTCTGTGGTTTCAGTAAGCAATTTCAAGTTCAGCAGTTTGCCACTGCTTTTTGAATGGCCAGCATTTCATTGTCAAACTCAACACAAAGCAGTTTGCTGCCAAATCGCTTGCAGCTGAATAAAACCTGCGATTTTGGAATTACAAATTTGCGATCCCTAAGCCCCAGTCATCAAGATAAGACCGTAAAAAAAATTTGCATGCAGCCTATAGAAATCTTTTTGTTCAAATAGGATTGAAATTTTGTGTAAGTAATGTGAAATGTTTTTTGAAGAAAATACAGTGATTAGTAAGGATTATCATCACAGCACTCTGGACAGATCCATAGGAGCTCTGATCTCCTCCTCAAAAGCTCCACAAGTGTAAAATTACTGATGCCGCCTGCTCTGTGTTGGTTAACGAAACATCTTGTCCCCTTAGTGAAATGTTCATGTCTTGCAGCTTCAGACTACACCCCCATGTCCATCAGTCTAGACAGGGATACAGAGTCATGTTCTTTGTACCCGTTGTCACTGTAAGTGCTGCATACATCACTGATAATTTGAAGAAAATATGAGGCATCAAAATGCATGGTAGGCTTCCACATAACAATATTAACAATGATATGGTAAAATTATGTATACATACATACAAGGTTGACACAGACCTCTGATCTACCCTGATGGTACGTGGCTCGCTGTACAAGCCTGTGACAGATAATCTATCTAAAAACACACTAAGCCCAACACCCACAGAGCACATACCACAATCTTTAATGCAAAGCACAGACTAACAAAAGACTGTTGACTTCAGACAATGTGGGTACCCTTACCCAAAACGCAGGCCGTGCTGGCTTTACAATTCACCATGCCCGCCTTCCCGTCCCCATGGATAATACTGAGGTCCGAACCCACACTGCTCCTGATACGCTCTTTTCTGATGTCACTGGACTCCACCAGGATTGCGCAGTGGCTGCAAATTAAAGGGAACAGTGTGCAGCGGATAGGCAATATCATAACAGCCAGTCCAAAACAACCTTGACTACCAGAATACCGTAACACTACTTATGTGACATGTTATTTAAAACGCTTTCACCGTCAAACGCTAAAAACCACAGAATGACTACAAGACCCCAGCGAAACACATTACCACGAACTATTGGTCACTAGAAAATATCACTACAACATGCTGAGATTCTGAACAGTCACTCTACTATCAGCTGTCCTTTGCCTCTCATCTGATTTCCAACGCCGACTCGCTTCTTCCAATCTTCTCCCGTGATTGTGTCATAGTCCAACCGCTCATTCGGGATCATGCAGAAGTCGTGGGCCCGCAACTGAAGTGTTTAATTCAGCCATGCTTTATCGCTGTCACAACTGTATCGGGTTGAAATGTGGTTTCCATCAGTCATTCCAGTACATAGACAGACAGTCATGATTCCACCATTCTGATCTGTTGGTCACCTCTCCGTCATGCGCGTACAAACAGTACACTGTCTCTATAACATAAACTCAGGTGGAGAAGGGAACCTGAAAAAGATGGGAATCACTGATCTCTCTGGTTGGCCTTGTCTTTTCAGTTGGTGACAGGAAGTGTTTGCAGGTCTGTCTGGACATTATCTCTCTATTGTCTTCTTGGTCTGCCTCGTGGTCTATGACCATTCAACTCCCCTGTGTATACAATTTTTACCTCTCTGTCATCTGAGATTCTATATGATTGTGAACACTTTGTGGTCCAAATTTGAATAACTTAATACTTTGTACTGTAAAGATGGTAGGATCGATATATGCATTTAGTCACATTTGCCCAATGATCTGTTAGATTTACACACAATGTTATATGGCAGTCAGAAAGTTGGGAAAATGCTATCTGACTCCATGTGTTTCATCTTCATATGATTTCAGATAAATAGGTGTAGCCTGATCAAGAATTTGTTTATCTTTCTTAAGCTTGGCATGGCCTTTGGGTGAAAGCACATTTTGTGGAAAGTTCATCTGAAAAAGAAAATATTAAAAATAGTCATATATATATATACAAATTCTGAGAACAACAAACAAAATATTATATAAGGTTTTTGAAAAAATACAGTCACATCAAATACAGAACTTCCCCATGTGGGTTCCAGAGCACCACTGTGGGGAAGGTTTGTGGTCCGAACACCGGATCAACATCATGGAACACGGGTAGTAACCCATAAGTGCTCTGTTCTTCCTCCAACTTAAGTCTGAATCCAGATGAAGCTCAGCACAGTGCATAGGCTCTGTAGGGAAAATTTTAAACTCCAAATTATGCCCGGGCAGCATCATTAGGCTACTCTTTTTTATTTCCAACTGCCAAGGGATTTTTTACGTGCGCAACAATGCACACAGGCATCCAATCTCACTACCCAGAGACCAGGGGGGATTACTAGAAGTCCAAGTCCACGTGAAAAAATCCCAGCCCTTAACGGGGATTGAACTCGAAACCTCTAGCACTCAAGGTAGACACCATGCCTTGAGACCACCCAGTCCCCTCCATTGTGAGGAAAACAAGAATAGACCCACTACCTCCCTAACAAAATTGTCATAAGAGGCGACTATTTAGGGGTTTGCTTTGAAGTCGGAATGCATCTGCCTGAGAGGCAAGGAACCAACAATCTGCGCACAAAGTCAGATCTTTAAAACAGATGTGCATGCCAACACTCAGCTTCTGAAACAAGACTTAAGTCCAGAGGTGGGCAAACAACCAGAAATTTCTGCCAGAGTTTATAGCCAGTAAACACAAAGAAGAAGATATATAGAATACACAAAATATATGGAAATGTATTTTCTTTGTCAAAAACAGGGGCAACTGCAGTCGAGCTTAAAAAAAAAAACAAAAGAATTAACCAGGGCTTTTTTCAGGCAGCATGCAGTACCTACCCCTTATTTATAGGCACCACATATTTCAAAAACACTGTAATATACACTTCATGGTAAATACTAGCATCTTTTCTAGACACTTGTGGTGAGTACCAGCACTTTTTGTAAAACATTTTATGATGAATACCGGCACCTTTTCTAGACACTTGTGGTGAATACCAAGTACCGGCACCTTTTCTAGACACTTGTGGTGAGTACCAGCACTTTTGTAAAACACTTTGTGGTCAATACCGAGTACCAGCACCTTTTCTAGACAATTGCGGTGAGTACCAGCACCTTTTGTAAAACACTTCATGGTGAGTACCAGCACCTTTTGTAAAACACTTTGTGGTGGGTACCAGCACCTTTTGTAAAACACTTTGTGGTGAGTACCAGCAACTTTTGTAAAACACTTTGTGGTGGGTACCAGCACCTTTTGTAAAACACTGAGTGGTGAGTACCAGCACCTTTTGTAAAACACTGAGTGGTGAGTACCAGCACCTTTTGTAAAACACTGAGTGGTGAGTACCAGCACCTTTTGTAAAACACTGAGTGGTGAGTACCAGCACCTTTTGTAAAACACTGAGTGGTGAGTACCAGCACCTTTTGTAAAACACTTAGTGGTGAGTACCAGCACCTTTTACAAAACACTTTGTGGTGGGTACCAGCACCTTTTGTAAAACACTAAGTGGTGAGTACCAGCACCTTTTGTAAAACACTAAGTGGTGAGTACCAGCACCTTTTGTAAAACACTTTGTGGTGAGTACCAGCACCTTTTGTAAAACACTGAGTGGTGAGTACCAGCACCTTTTGTAAAACACTTTGTGGTGAGTACCAGCACCTTTTGCAAAACACTAAGTGTGAGTACCAGCACCTTTTGTAAAACACTAAGTGGTGAATACCGAGTACCGGAACCTCTTCTTCTGGAAAAGGAAAAGTCCTGGAACTAACGCAACCTAAATTATTACTAGTGAGCTCAAAGAAGAGAAAAGAAAAGGCATGTATAATAAAAAAAAAAGCTAATTGTTTTTACCAAAGTCTTTATCAAGGAATGCAATGAAAAGAAACATAATAAACCACAACAATCAAACATGGAGAGTCACACAGAAGAATGAAAATCCTAAATTATGGAAAGGAAAAGGTACTGTGAAAACTAGGGGCAGTATCTCAATAGATATTCCAGTCTCTGGGGGGGGGGGGGGGGGGGGGGGGGGGGGGGGGGGGGGTGGCAGCATTTTTTTTCTTCTAAGTGACTTTCTTGTTGGATTCTTAAGGTTTATATTCTTCTTTTTAGCATTCACCATCTGTAAACTCCAGCAAAAGTTCTGACTGTTCATCCACTTCTGGACTTTAGCCTTGTTCCAGAACTTGAACTTTACGTGCAAATCCATTTTACAGATCTACATATTTGTATGTCGGTTCCTCACATCTCAGGCAGATGCGCCCAAACTTAGGGGGAAAAGCCCCTAATTGGTCACTTTTTAAGATACGCTTATTAGGTAATCAGTGGGTCTATCTCCCGCCTCCAAACCCCCCAAATAAAAAAGGGCAGAAGATGGGCCACAGAAATATCAAGAGACATTGAAAAGTACTTTATATGAAGCGAACAGAAGGGCCCGTCCAGAGATCTCTTCCTGCTCTGACGCCGTGAGGCATTCCAGGAGTAGGGAAAAGAAGACGATGGAACCTACACATGAAATTTTGGTTTATGATTCCTGCTATTTAAAAAATAATTTAAAAATCTGCCTATTCTGCAAGAGACACAGCTATGCTGCCCTTGGAAGAATGTTTCTCTTATCACAGCCTACTAGAAACTCCTGACCTTCCACTAGTTTCCCTGTTCTGTTAATTTTATGTCTTTAATGCCCTGTGTCCATCTTCACATTGGTCAACCCCAGCACTTTCTTACTGAACCATGTCTTCCATTACTGTTCTTGCTAAGATACCTTGACGTATAATAAAGCCAAATTATTTCAGTTTCAAGACTGTCACTGTGAAATAAGAACAATTCTTCTAATACCATGGGCCAAGAAGAAGAAAATCACTGACATCTTACATGGTCTGAGCACTGGGGAGAACTGGCTCAGGCACAGCATCCTGCCCTGAAAGCAGAGGTATTTAGGCCATTTTATTCATCATGGTGGCCTGGAGAGAACTGTGACAGAGGGTAGTTTCCAGAAATTAAGGCAGAGACAGACCTTTGTGAATGTGGATACAAGACATTATAGATGCACTGGCTACGAAGCACATAGGGCTGGAGAGCTGGCTAGAGAAAGAGAGATTTTCAGTTGTTCTGTGACAAGAGCTACATCCTGTTAAAGACCTGATGTTTGATGATGATGAGTGTGAAATCATTTTATTAACTGCACTGATTAGAAAAATGCCATTAATACTAGAAGATAAACAACAACTGTGTTGGTCATCCAGTGAACTGATCACTTTGTTTGAGACAATTTTGACATATAAATATTTGTACATGAATGTACGTGCACTCATCAGACATGCTCAAATGGACAGAAAGGATAAATGATGCAAACAAAATGTGAGAACAATCAAACAAAACTTCCCATAAAACTGTGACATTTTTTCCAACAATCAATTTTTGGTCAAAACAACAGACAAATTAATTATATTACCATTCGAGGGTAGGGGTTTCCATAATGTTTCGCTGTGAACAGTAAAAGATAAAAAATTTATAATAAACAATACAAGATAAACTTATGATAAACAATACAATGTAAAAACAAACTACTGAATAGCATTTACAATGTTAGCAGATGTGTTTATTTTACTGTCCTATCTTAACTATTGCTTTTTTTATTGTCAGTTTTACAATTCATTAAAATGCAAGAGGTCAAATGGTACCAACTACAGCAAACAGTAACAATGGAAACATAAAAAGAGCATACAGAGCCAGGGGAAAAGTACGCTAAAAACAGAATGATGGCATTAGGAACAATCTTAGAGAAATGAAGACCCACTTACACAGTAGATTAGAAAGAGTGCATCTCCCCCAAGCAAGTTACTGAGGTAATTGGAGAAGGAGGAGGATGAATAAGAAAAAGAAGTAGTCGGAAAAGAAGAAGAAGAAGAGTTGAGTTGGGTTGAGCCAAGAATTGACATCACAGCACTCGGAGCATTCCCATGCATGCTTCGTCCGCATCTTGAGCAGCCAGCACAGATTTCCAATACTGATGATACCGATCAGTCTGATTATATGTTCATCTTGCCTTTCCTCTGAGTGTAGTGAGCCGGCCAGACCCTCTGGTTACACCCAGGTGTCTCATTCTCTCCAGGCCATAATAATCTTCTTTCTCTACTGATTCCGTTGCTTGTTCCCAAAGGGCATTGACCGCATCTTCCTTGTCATGTATCAATTCACCACCTAGTGGTGCAGATCCAGCCAATCTTCTGCCTGGTCAATACCCACCATGCAAGCATTGCCTGGAGAAAAGATCCAAAATTTGCTCACTACCCGTGACCTTCCCAGTGTAGATTGCCATTCTGTTCGAAGCATCCCTGTCTTCACCTTTCTCAGCATGCTTTCAGAGTCTGTTACAATTACATGTATATGCATCTTGTTCTGTAGCCACCGGAGAGCTGTAGTTACCGCTTCCACCTCCATTCTCATGCTAGATGTGGTTTCGTATGCTAGACTGTCTTGCATTAAAGATTTTCCATTTACTTTTGCTACGAACCCCTAGGCACTTTTCTTTCCTCTCACCATAGAACCATCTGTATAGATAATCACCTGTCATTTACCTGGGCGTAAATTGTTGTGAATCAACTGTTGGACTTCCACCTCTGGCCACTCTCTGCACTTCCGGCCCAATGTGATGATCATAACCCTACACAGGTCATACTTTTCCTCTAATACTCTGGCCCACTCCTCTCCTCGACCAATGTTCTCCAGCATGCATACGTGTCTTTTTGTGAAGAAGAAGAAGAAATGCCAGTATTCACAGAAAATTATACAGCTATGAATCTAAAGAGTATTATTTGAATCACAAAATACCTGATAACACAAAAGACTAATCTATATTAAATTAAGCTTTTACAATATACTTTCTCTTGAAAATTCATACTACTCACTGTCATTAAAGATTTTTAATCAACATCACCTGGTCTCTAGTGCTTTTTATGAATTTGGTTGGAATCTGTTAATGCCACAATCCTTTATTCTCAAGCAAATTAGTCTCTGTTATTTATCTTCTATAAACCCTGCTTGCTGTTATATGTTATAATGAACTATAACATTAGGATTTGCTTTGAATATGTGAACTGATTTACTTTATTATTCAGTCATCAAATTCTTTTAAAATGTATGGAATGTTCATATTTGCCATTGCCTGCCACATTTTACAGTAAAACAGAGCAAAAAGGACCAACTATTTCTAATACAGGTGCTGATCAATACAGCACCATTAACTTACCTAGTCCTATTCTTGTTTCTGCTTCCCTGATATACTCTTTGATTCTTTCTTCATTTGTTTCCTATACAGAAAGAAAAAGTAAAGTAAAGACCCTTTTCTCACACCTTAAGGTGCATCGGGTATATGGATAGAGCACCCATATTTTTACAGACCAATCGGCACTAGGTGTGTACTGTGGTCAGCATTACACCGGCCGTCTTTACTTCCCAAGGACATGCATCCTGGTACCCATTTTAGGCTGGGTCGACCTGCGACATCCCATACCATGATAAAAATCAACACAGCGATAGAGGTACGTTGGAATTACGAGTCGGACTCGCAATGCCAAAGCCATGGACGCCACATACAGAAAGATAAATGATACATAATACATGGTCCATGGTATTCTAAGAATTTTTTTTTTTAATAACATTACTGTTCAAAAGCTCTGATGTGTTTCTTCACTGAATGAGTAAGAGTCCCTGACTCACATCCATAAGTTACCACTGGAAAGATGTATGATCTCAAGTCTCGAGGCATGGCGTCGGCCTCAAGTGCTGGAGGTCCCAGGTTCAGGCCCCGGTGAAGGTTAAGATTGTTTCAGGTGGACTTCTAGTAAATTCCCCTGGTCTCTGGGTAGTAAGATCAGACACCTGTGTGTATTGTTGCGCACATAAAAAATCCCTTGGCAGTTGGAAATAAAAAAATTGTAGCCTAACAAATCTACCTAAAGTATTTCAGGATCCTCGCCAGTGCTATGTAGTTTGTGCACTGCACTGAGATTCTTCGGACTCAGATTTGAGTTAAAAGTAGAACAGGGCACTTATGGGTTACCACCCTTGTGCCATGATGTTGTTCCGTTGTCTAAACCTAAACCTAGATGTATGATCTCAGAATGTTTACTTTAACTTGCTTTCAGGTGCTGTGTCATAGGTTCTTCATACTGTTTAGTCTTTGTAATGCTAAAGCTAGTCTTTTTCTTTTGTGCAGTCACCACTGTTGTCCACTTCTGAGCCTAAATATTGACTTTCTACCCCACCAGGACATCACACAAGCGATAAACACCTGATGACACAAAGTGCCACCATGTGGATGAGGATCACCGTGGAGAGGTCACAGAAACCGCGTTCAGACAATTGGCCACATATATGGTCTGCCTATATTGCAGCCCCTGGCAAAAGCCAGGGTGGGGCTTCAAATAAAAAATTCCGTCCTAAAAAGGACGAAAGGATACATTGAGGCTAAATATTCAAAATCTGTTTAACTGACTGAGTCCTACAATGGGCAATAAATGGATTCAGTAAAAAAAATATACTGATTTATTCTAATACTCCAACAATAAAGACTATGATTTCTATCTCATTCATCCATATGTGTGAATCATACATACATGCATGTTTTTCCTGAATAGCACTTGTGCCTCAGCTATTATGTATGTTCTTTCTTGTTCTGTGTCACGCAGTTGTCCACTCGATGCTGTCCATGACTTTGCCAGACGCAGGATTTGTTTGTAAAGGGAAAGCACTTGGTAGCGGTAAATGCCAGACATCACAAGTGTATGCCACATTGAATTTCCTCTAAACTGAATAAAGACATCAGTTAAAGAAAACATATATTGGTGTCAGATTTTACAGTTTGAACCAATGTTTCCCAAACTTGTCTTAGTTGAGGCACTTTTTTCAATTACAAATTTTTCCACAGCGCCCTACCCCAAGTAAAAGTATGACTATTGGTTTCTTGGTTAAATTAATTATGAAGCTTTTTGCAATATTTCGCGGCGCCCCTGTGAAGAGGTCGCAGTTCCCTGGGGCACCTTGGCGCACAGTTTGAGAATTACTGGTTTAAACTATAAAATCTTAACTGAATAATGTTTTTAAAAATAATAAAAATATTAACTCTTTGAGTCCCAGGAAACGCATCACGCTTTTTTGTTTCAACAGAGCGGCCCAATCGACGTGTAACAAGTGAAGGTTTTTAATCTACCACGGACCAGTTATAAAATGCAGACCGCGCAATTTCAACTTCCTAGAGAGTTAATTGTGTCTGATATTAAGCGTGCTCAATTAGAAACGTGGGTTTCATGTGTACTTCACCTCACGCGAAGGGTTAAACAATAGCAAAGTCAGCTGACACAAATAGAATAAACATTACTAAAAAGACGATTTTCTTCAGTGTCAGTTATTTCTAGTGCTATTCCCCTTATTATTTAGGTACATAGCTACAAAATTACAGGCAAATTGAGTGTTAGATAAACTTTGTATTGTGTGAAGATACTTATTGTTTTGGAAGTCAGTTTTCTTTACCAAATAATGGTGCTCTGTTATGATGCTTCAAAAGATTCTCTGGAACAGAATCTAATGTATAGATTGAGTTTATATTTTACTTATACATTACTAAGTGGTTCATATTAATTTGTGATTATTTCTCAACAATCCTTGGTCACTTTGATGTATAATATGTGTGTGTAACGTAGCAATTGAATTAGTATGGTCTGCTTTAATGTGTTACACTTGTGAAATAAAAAAAAAATGCATTACCACCCCTTGGGCCTCTAAAGCTAAACCCCCTGGGACTCAAAGAGTTAATAATTACCATGGAATAAAAATATGGTCTACTTGTATTTATTTTTTACCTCTTTCAGCACTAAAAAGCTCACTATACATTTCTTGGTTTTGCCAAAGATAATCTAATGTTCTTGCTCTTGTCTGTCGCAGACAGATAGTAAATTAACCCTTGGTAGTGAATTATTAATTTAACAACTTGTGTTACACAGTGTTCTCTGTTGAACGACTTTGTAGTATGTACTTCTTTTAATTCACACACAAATAACAACTTTTTAGTACTGAAAGTAGAGTGGGGGTGTGTATATACCCCTTACCTCGCCGCCCCAACCACAGCTTTCAACACAAATGCTGTCATGATTTTAAATGCTGATCTGAGAGGGACATATTTTAGTTCAAAGGTCGATGATGGTAATTTTGCTAATTTGTAAATATTTTATGGTAAAGATGTTTATGTAAAAGCATGGAAATAAGAACTGGGCTATCCTCCTAAGAACGGTCCTAAATTATCGACGCCGGAAAAATACGCTGACATGGCCTTAGTCATATGTAAATTGCAGACTTTTTTCCGGCGACTATACCGCCACCTCCAAGAGTATCGCCGGAGCCGCTAAGCGCAGCGAGGAAGGGGCTAAACTAGATGGCTGGTACTCACGAGCAAATAAAATGGAGGAAGCTGCAGGAGAAGCGGTAGCTGATGCTCGTGAGTCCCAGCCATCTAGTTTAGCCCCTTCTGCGCTGCACATAGCCGCGTGGGGAATACTCTCAGACGTGGTGGTATAACTGCCGGGAAAAGGTCTGCAATTTACATATGACTGAGGCCCTGTCATAGGATAGCCCTATCAGATCTATTGTTGCAATCTGCCAAATTTTCGTGTGCAATTAATCCTACTTTTGCGCAGTTTATTCACTGAAAAAAAAAATCCTGAATTTACATATGACTGAGGCTCTGTTAGGGTATATTTCCGGCCTCAATAATTTGGGACCATTATTTGGAGTTTAGCTGAGAACTGTGTGTGTGTTTTTTTTTTTTTAGTGTTTAAACTGGCTGTAGACAACTGGAATCAACAGAAAGCATACAAATAAACCAGACATGTAACACGATGTGCACGCAACACTCAAATTCTGGAACAATACTAGTTACCCGTAAATTTTTTCTCTCATTTAAAAATGTGTTATTTTAATGGTAACATTTATTCTTTGACAGCATATTTCCTCAGAGGGTAAAGTCGCTGCTTCCTCAGCTCTTTCTTGCCCTTCAGAGACAACTTGTATGGTGTGAGAGCCCGGTTAATGGCCCTAGTTCTTCTGTCGGAGATCCTTGGGTTTGTGGGTCTTCTTGCGGTAAAACTCTAAAACAGTCCAGAAGTCAAAAGTGGACGACCAACCAGAACTTTTTTCCGGAGAAGGATAGTACTAGTAGACAAGACTCGATGTAGAAGTGTTTCTTTTACTAATTTAGTATCCTATCGTAAGTAAGAGTGATTACTTTTAACCATCTAGTCAAACAGTTGCTATTCACAGTAGAGTATCCACACTTACATGAAATTCAGTAACAAACGTATGGAAGTGCTTGCTATCATGTGTAGAGGTTACCTTGCCTGGTAACGAAATGTTCGGATCGTAGTCGCCTATAACTCTTAGCTTTAAACATTTTTAGGATAGCCTCCCTTAAATGAGGACATAAGTCGATTATACAATCTGTAGTGAAACCCTGCAAGTTACACTTAAAGGGTACATTCACTAATGCTGACCTAATTGTAGCTTCTTTTGAGGTTGAACGGGGTATTTGAGATTGTCTTGCTGTTTTGTTACCAGCACCAGATTCTCTAATCTCAAGGTGTGAAAGTCTCAGGCACTGTTGATCTGCCATCCAAATTGGGAATTTTTTTTTCTTCACATGGTGTCAAACCTTCGGGGAGCAGTCTGAAAGAAAAGGGGGAGGGGTGTTGGGTGGGGGGGGGGGGGGGGGGGGGTGGGGGGGGGGGGGGGGGGGGGGGTGGGGGGGGGGGGGGGGGGGGGAGGGCGGCACACTCATGCGCGCACACTTCAGAAAGTCAGCAGGTTAGATCCTCATCGACACAGAACTCCAGGTACCCATCCTTGTGTAGCCGTTACGGGTGCCACAATTATAACTTCTTTGCAAGCTGAACGGGGTATCTGTTATACATCCTGTTGATGTGACGTCCAGAAATCTGAAATCTCAATTAAAGGTTCCAAATGCTTTATACAGAACCCACCCACAGGAGGGGGGGGGTGAGGATGTTTAAAAGGTTCTCTGTTATCTATAGGTAAGGCGTATTGGCCACTAAGCTTGTCTGCCGAACGGATCATTTAATCTAATCCTCTTCAGGGCGACCCTTTGTTTTAAACTGGATTTTCACCTTACTCTTCCTTCATTTTGCTCATATCCTTCCTCTTCTTCTTCTTTTTCTTCTTCTTCTTCGTCTGCCTCCTCCTCCTTCTTCTTCTTCTTCTTGTTTATGCGCTTTATTTCCAATGTCTTGTACAAGCTGGTGTTCATTTCTGTTAGGTTGCCTTCTTGTAGTTAGCACTGCTCGCTCCAGTTCGATGTTCGTTCGCCAGCCTCCATGTAGTGAGCAACTCTTGCTCCAGTTTGATGTTCGTTTACTAGCCTTTCTGTACTAAGCACAGCTTGCCGAAGTTCGATGCAGTTCACCAGTATTCGTTTAATGAGTACTGCTGGCCCCAGTTCGGTGTTGGTTCACCAGTCTTCTTGTTGTGAGCACTGATGGTTGCAGTTTGATGTTCGTTCACCAACCTTCTTGTAGTAAACACTGCTCGCCAGTCTTGTTGTAGTGAGTACTTCTCGCCTCAGTTTGATGTTAGTTCACCAGCCTTCCTGTAGTAAGCTCTGCTCGCCCCATTTCAATGTTCGTTCACCAGTATTCTTTGAGTGAGCTCTGCTCGATTCATTTCGATGTTCGTTTACCAGAGTTCTTGTAGTAAGCACTACTTGCTCCAGTTAGATGTTCGTTCACCAGTCTTCTTGTAGTGAGCACTGCTCGCACCAGTTCATTGCTGTTTCACAAATTTTATTGTAGTGAGCATTGCCCGTACCAGTTCGATGTTGGTTCACCATTCTTCTTGTGGTGAGCATTGCTCGCCCCAGTTCACTGCCGTTTCGCCAGTCTTCTTGTAGTGAGCACTTCTGGCCTAATTTCGATGTTTTTTTACCTGTCTTCTTATATTTAACACTACTCGCTCCACTTCGATGTTCGTTCACCTCGTGTATTGAGCACCAGTCGCCCTAGTTAATTGCTGGTTTACCAGTCTTCCTGTAGTGAGCACTGTTCGCCCAGGTTCGATGTTCGTTCACCTGTCTTCTTATAGTGAGCACTACTCGCCCAAGTTTGATGTTCGTTCACTGGCCTTCTTGTAGTAAGCACTTCTTGCCACAGTTCTATGTTCGTTCACCAGTCTTCTTGTAGGGAGTACTGCTCGCTAGCATTCTTGTAGCGAGCATTGCTAGCCCCAGTTCGATGTTCGTTTGCCAGTCTTCTTATAGTGAGCGCTACTCGCCCCAGTTCGATGTTCTTTCACCAGTCTTCTCGTAATGAGCACTATTCGCCCCAGTTCGATGTTCATTCACTAGCCCTTTTTGTAGTGGGCACTTCTCATCCCATTTCATTGGGGCTGAAGCCTCAAACACACAGAAGGAGGTGACAGATCCAAACCTGCACAATGAGAGGGCACGACCTAGCCGGCCAGATGGACACGGAAGACATAAAATAAAGCATCTGATACTACGCAATGTAATTGCAGCACAATTTGTTGCCATATTTATAACCGATATTGACAAGCAGCGAATCTTGGAATGTCAGTTAACAAATTATGAAGAATTTGGAAGCAACAGAGATGTGGTTTCTGAGACGAATGTTACGAATACCTTTTCGACCAGAGTAACTACCAACGATTGTTTGAAAGAAGCTAATAAAAGTAGATATCTATGCACAACAATAAGAAA